AAAAACATTACTTTTGATGTTGAATATGTTCTTTGTTATTACTTATTATTGTCATCAACTTGAGATATCAAAATATTCAGATACAATTTCTCTGTATTTGTTTAATGTTATTAGGCATACAATGGCATCAAAACCTATTAGTACAAATGGAGGGAAATGTTGAGCACATTTATGACCACAAAGAAACCCAAAATAGCTTAGCAAGCATAAAAGATATTATTGAGAAATAGTACAAATTCAACTTCCAAATTTCAATAAAAACAACTTGAATACATCAGACAATGTAATTATATATAAAACTTACTTAATGGCAGCATAATATTTAGCAAATGCATCAAATTCATCATTGTATTCTTCAGTAAAGGTAAAGGTACTATTTGCAATTTCTTTTTCTTTAACTAAAACATTTCATAATCAGATAATCAATTTCAAGACTGTAAATTTAGAGAAGACCCACCTATTTGTTTTAAAATAACACTTTTTTCATATTCAGTCATTTCCCTGTAACAAAAAAGGATTATTCAACAAATCAAAATTAAATTAAAGAAAAGGTAAACAAACTTACATTTTGTTAAAAATTGTTTTGTAAAAGTAGACGACTTGTAAATGATATTTGGTAAATTGCTACTGAATAACAAAAAGATTCCATGTAAAAACGTGAACACAAAAAGCAGGTAAGAAATAAGAATACAAGAATATAAAAAACTTTCAAATTAGACAGAGAGGGAAACTGTATCAGCCAATTTACCTACGATACATACGAACTACTCACAACAAAAACAGTCTTAAGGGGATCTGTATTACTGTATTGGTCACTATTGGTATTTGTTTGGGGTAAGTGGAGTAAAATTTGTTTTTATTTCCAGTGACAGTAACAGCATTGTCATTAACTGTGAAATAGTAAAGGACAAGACCATAAGGTGACATACAATTAACATAGCTGTAGAAGTTGATGGTTTTTAAGGGGTGAATTCTTATAATAGTGTTTTTTTTAATACTGTAAGTAATAGGAAAATATCTTACTAAAGACTAAAAATCGATCTGAATATTTGGCTGAACCTTCGAATTTATTTGTTAATCTGTCAAAGCTAGTTGTTTCACTAACATCGAATAATAAATTATTATTTTCTTTGACTTTAATTAAATAACTAATCTTACAAATGGTGCTTTTTAAATTTCTTAATCTTTCCAAACAAGCCACGGTGAATTTTAAAAAAGATTAACTTGAGTTCTAATGATCGTAGGACATTGTGTTTTTTTAGTTCGTGTAAGAATACCAAAATTTTGAACAAAAAAATAAATTCATACATTTTGATGAGTTATTTTAAATGTTTATAAGCCTAAAGTCACAATACTTTTGCAAACCCATTTTACAATATTTATTTAATATTATTCAACATAACTTTTTATTCGTTAAATGATTTAATTTGATAAAATGAGCCTTTTTCTTCAGTTTGGTGCTTTCAGAATTTATGTAGACCCAATAGTTTACCTACGCATAACAACGTTGTACGAGGGTCGATTGATATAAAACTAGCCTTTGATAGAAAAAACAAGTTTTTTGTAATTAAATCGATTTATTTCTCAACATAGTCCCCTTTTAGCTCGATACACTTAGTAAGACGATGTTATAATTTTTGTATCTCATCCGAATAGTACTTTTGCTCGAGCTCTTCAAAATAGGCCGAAGTTACAGCGACGACTTTATCATTTGTTGCAAATCGGCATCCTCCGAGTCATTTTTTAGGTTTGGAAACAGGAAAAAATCGCTGGCGGCAAGATCTGGGGAATACGGTGGGTGTTCAACCAATTCATATCCCAAATCGTGTAATTTTGCCATGGCGACGGCCGATCGGTGAGCCGATGCATTGTCTTGGTGAAAGAGCACTTTTTTTGCGTTCCAAACCGGGGCGTTTTCGACGCAATTCTGCATCGAATCGATCCAATAATGCTGCGTAGTACTCAACATGGATTGTTTTTCCTTTTTCCAAGTAGTCGATGTGGATGATGCCCTTCGCATCCCAGAAAACAGTCGCCATCACTTTGCCGGCCGAATGTGCACTCTGCCTTCGTAATCCTTCGGATTGCGCCGTATCATCGCCAAAAGCGTCTCCGAAGTGGTCACATGTTTTTGCATTTGATCGATTTCGTTCTCGATCTTGCGCGGCATGTAATAATTCATCTGATGATATGCCAGTCCATTCACGAAGGTTTCGGAGTAATGAGTATTTCTTTCTATCAATTTCTCTTCTTCCGTCGATCTTACCGTTGAGTATCAACTGCATTATCCTTTATCTGCTACCTCTCATTATCAATCAGCCAATCGCGTCCACTGCTGGACATAGGCCTCCCTCAGTTCTTTCCAGTGTTCTCTAGTCGGTGGTCGTCCTCGGCTTCTTTTATAGAGTCTGGGCCTCCATTCCATAATACGTCTTGTCCACCGTCCATCTTGTGCTCTGGCTAAGTGCCCTGCCCAGTTCCACTTAAGCGACGTGGTTCTTTCGATGACGTCTTGAACTCCTGATCTTTGCTTAATTTGTTGGTTTGTTATGTGGTCTCGAAGGCTCACGTTCATAAGTTTGTACAGGTAAAACACATTGGTTATAAACCTTTCGCTTGAGACACATGGGAATTGAACTTTTTAGAATATGGCTTAATTTGCCAAATGCTGCCCAAGTTAGGCCTATTCGCCTCTGTATTTCATGTGTTTGATTGTCTCTGCTTATTTTGATTTCGTGTCCCAGATATTTGTAAGTGTCTGTTTGTTGTATGGTATTATTGTCAATAGTTATATTTCCACTCATTACGAGATTTGTTATAAGTTTAGTTTTCTCAAAGTTTATCTTTAATTCTGCTCTTTCAGACAGACTTTTAAGCGAATGCATCATAGAAACTGTATCTTGTAAATTATCTGCGATTAATACATCATCTGCAAATCTTAGGTGATTTAATCTTTCTCCATCTATATTGATGCCCATATCTTGCCATTGAGTGCTCTTAAATATTGACTCTAGAGCTGCCGTGAACAATTGTGAAATATTGTCTCCTTGTCTAACTCCTCGACCTAAGCTGAATTTTTCTGTGTCTTCGTGTAGTCGTATACTTGATGTAGCGTTCTCGTAGATGTTTTTGATTAGTGTCGTGTACCTGTAATCTATTCGGCTTTGATTTAGGGCTTCCAGTATTGTTTCAAACTCTACAGAATCAAAAGCCTTCTCGTAATCGACAAATGCAAGAACCAGTGGTATGTTGTACTCGATGCACTTTTCTATTAAGATCTTTATGGTATGCAAATGGTCATTTGTGCCATATCCTGCCTGTTCTTTGGGCTGATAGAAATCAAGTTTAGGTGTTAGCCTCTTTGTTAAGATTTTTATAAAGAGTTTGTACATATGTGTCAAGAGGCTGATGGGTCTATAATTTTCTAATTTAGTAATATCGCCTTTTTTGTGTAACAAGACTATTACTGCATTGTTCCAGTCTTTTGGAATCGTACGCGCATGTAAGCATTTATTAAACAGTTCGCTTACTGATTTTAATAAAATTTCTCCTCCTGCTTTTATTGCCTCGATAACGAGTCCATCATCACCAGGCGATCGATGGTTCTTCATTTCCTTTAAAGCTGCTCTTATTTCTGACACAGTAATGGGTAAAAGTATTTCCGATCCATGATTTATGAGAGTCTTTACTCGTGTCGGAAAATTGTCTTGTGGTCTTTGGCTGGTATAGAGGTCTTTATAAAACTCTCTGGTTATTTTCAGAATGTTTTGTTTATCTGTTGTTGCCTTTCCGTCTTTATCTCTCAGCTTGTATATTTCTTTTTTACTTTGTGTGAGTTTTCTTTTCATTATCTTTAAACCTTTGTTCTCTTCTACTGTTTGAGTAATTACATTAGTATTATATCTTCTTACATCTTTTCTAATTTCCGCTAAAATTCTTTTATTTAGTTTTCTATATTCTTCTTTGTTTCCCTTTTCGTTCTCGCTTAGGTTTCGTCGTATTTCCATGAGAGCTTTTGTATTTTTGCTAATCTTTTCACTTTTGGTGTCATTTTTTTTTGCAAAATTTGAGTTGTGCATTTCTAACCGAGTCTGTTATTAATTTATTGTGATCGTCGATACTTAGAGGTTTGGGATTATTACTCTGTAAAGTTTCGGCTATATTTTTTATGTATGCTTCTGGATGATTTGGTGCATTCCAAACTATGCGTTTGCAACTGTTTATCATCTCTCATTATATGCCCCAGATATTCGAGTTTCCTCTTTTTTATCATCTTTATAAGTCACCTTCACCTTTACCTACTCTGTTTGAAATGTGTTAAAACCCATGATATTCTGAGCATTCTAGGATATAACCACATCTCGAAGGCTTCTAATTTGTTCATCATGTTAACTTTCATAATCCAGGGTTCACATCCATACAGTAACACAGGATACACATAACATTTTAGGAACTTAATTCTCAGCTGTAAGTTCAGCTGAGAATTGCTCAGAATAGATCTAAGTTTCCTAAATGCTCCTCTTCCAATTTCTATACGAGTTTTAATTTCTTCATCTGGATTTAGTGTCCCGTTTATTCACCATCCCAGATATTTAAAATGGTTAACTTTTCTTATCGGTTCATTATTGACAATTAGTTGTATAGCGCCGAGGTCTTATTTACTAACCACAAGTAACTTTGTCTTTGTTGTAATTATGCTTAGTCCGTTATTAGAGCATTCTCTAGGGACTCGATCTGTAAGGAATTGAAGATCTTCGATACTTTCAGCCATGATTGCAGTGTCATCTGCATATCTGATTATGCATATAATAAATTATTTACAATTTATTAAAAAATGTTTATAGGATCTTCTATTCATTAAAAAAGTATTATCTCTATGATACCAATATCTGGGATATAAGGATGGTTCTGGTTACTGGTACTTCTAAGTACCTCTGAGACTGAAAGGTTAATAACCAATTTTAGCAAAACAATAAAGGTTAAATAAAACTCTCAAAATATAATGTAAAAATGTTTACTCAATAAAACTTACAATATAATTTGTGTAATAAGTCCAGCAGCAATAGTTACACCCCCAATCCTCAGCATGACTCTTCCCAATTCCTTACACTCGCTATATAATTCAAGAGCTATAGGTCGAGACACTTGTATTTCGACAATGGCACTTGTATTGTTACCTAAGAATCTAGGATGCTTCTTCAGTAGTTCTCCAGTACTTTTATTCAACTGCGAAATCAGCTTACTAACAATTACTGGTTCTACTAAAGATTGATGGTGTAGTACCACGGAGAATCCTTTCGTAATAGGTACTGTCACATTAAAAACAACTATTCTGGCCAGAAACTTCGACGCGACCTGAACGGGACTCTGAGGATCACACAGAATGTTTCCGACGGAGACGTTTTGCATTTCTACTCCAGATAGCGCTACGGTGACTTGATCGCCTGCAAAAACCACCGTTTTTGAGGCTTCTTCGATCGCCAGAGATTTTACTACGGCCGCTTCTCTGTTGGGACATACAAGAACTTTGTCGCCTACGCTTAATGTACCAGTTTCGATTCTTCCTGAGACGCAGAACGAAGTACCAGTGCCCTAGAATAATAAAATTAACAACTATTAAAACAGAACAAAATTAATGCTATGAGGATTTTGGGAGTATCTGAAGTATCCTTATAATGGGTATAAAAATTGTTTAATATTTTAAAACTTGTTTCATATTAAATTTCAACGTATATATTGTCAAATATAAGGAAAGATTTAAGGAAATTTAAGAATGAAAAAGTCCAGCGAACTATAGAAGGGAATAAAAGTACGAAAGTCCTGAGAAGACGACTAAACAATGGAAAATGCGAAATAGACAAACTAAACAACAAAGAAGTATTCCCCGCATCAAATAGAGAAGAACTACTACACATAGTTGAAGACTTCTATCAAGAACTAAATACAAGCCAAATAGAAGACCAAAAGAACTTGGAAGCCGACGCATCACGCAAAATTATCAACCAGGGTTCAGAGCTAATGCCAGAGATCACATTAAGCGAAATCCAGAACGCAATGAAAAAGATGAAAAACAACAAAGCGCCTGAAGAAGATGGAGTCGTAATAGAAGCTATAAAGATGGGCGGACGTGCCCTTTTCAACCAAATAAAAATGTTGTTTAACCTTTGTCTAACAGATTGTTGCATACCAAAAACATGGAACAATGCAGTAACAATTTTACTACACAAGAAAGGAGACAAGGCGCACCTAGAAAACTATAGACCAATCAGCTTATTGAATCACATCTATCAAATGTTTACCCGAATAATTACAAGACTAGAGAAAAAGTTAGATTTCTACCAGGCCCGAGAACAAGTTGGCTTCCGCTCAAAATTCGGAACAAACGATCACCTACAAACAGTAAAAACCTTAATAGAAAACTCGCTAGAATGTAACAGACCACTGGTACTTACCTTCGTAGACTTTCACAAAGTCTTCGACACTGTGGAACTAGGCAGCATTATAACTATGTACTCTGAACAATAGTAGAATAGATTACCGTCTTACAAAGTTAGTACAAACATTATACCAAAAAAATGGAATTGGGCAGGTCACATAGTGAGACTGAAAGACACAAGATGGACCAGAAAACTAATTGACTGGCGCCCACGACAAGACAAACGCAGCAGAGAACGATCTCCAACATGCTGGATGGACGATATTAGACGAATATCCAAGAAATGGCAACAAGAAGCACAGAACCGTGAAGAGTGGCGAAAAATGGGAGGGATCTATGTCCGGCAGTGGACAGAAGAGGTTGATGATGATGATGATGATAATGATTGTCAAATATAACGTGTTGTAAATTAAAATTGTGGTTTATTTCTATAAAAGATAATAGACAGCACATGAGATCATATAATTATAAGAGCCCGTTTTGATAAATATTTCGGAAAAAACAATACAGTGTGATCAATTTCTATAAAAAAACCGATATATCTCTGTACTGCATAAAAGATATATATTTTTTTAATGGCATAGACATTATTTATTTAGCCAGTTGCTATAGATTCTCTTAGCAGACAAATGCACAATCCTATCCCTAATAGAAAACTAACGGATAATTAATATGAGAATACACGACAAGGAAACTTATAGGATCACTTGCTTCTCGTCTAGGGGCCCATCAAGACATTCTTAGTAGACAAACAAAACTGGACCACGGATAAGGTGTTATAATATTTAGGATAAACAAAGGATACAATTAATTACTATTAAACTGGGAATAAGCCACAATTAAAGATAAAAATACGTTTATTGACGTTTCAATTTCCACTTCGGAAATCGTTCTCAAAATACAAACAGTAAATTAAACAAATTTTGTTTTTTGTTACATAGTGAAAAATTCTTCTAATAATTTAATTTTATCTGACTCATTTATATTGACAATTCAGACATACATTATGCATTTTATAGTAGACGACTTTAAAATGATATTGCCAATATTGTTGAGTTGCGCTCCTGGGACGACTTTATACTTATAAGATAGTTCATTCGATTACATGAAATCAACTTTAACTTGAGAATATCCGTTAGAAAAAAATCATAGCATGTAATTCGTCTTTAAAAAGACAAACACATGACATGATGACAGTAAAATTCTCCTGTTAGTGATTCCATAGTAAATTATGAGGGAAAAACCAGGAAAAAAAAACCTCATAATACTATCCCGACATTGTAAGTATTTGTTCGTGAATTTAGTTTACCTTCAACAAACATCAAAATTCTGATTTTATATGTTACGTTATTTAAAAAACATAAATGATGTATCCTCTATATGTTACCGACTTACTTATACTGGTATTTTTTTATTAATAACTTCCTCTTTCAATATTGGTAACCAGATCCTACTACATTCTGCCGAGGAATTTGCGACACAATTGGCCTCATTTAGCATAATTAGAGCCGCTTCTTTGATTTTTCTTTTTTTTATTTTTATTACAAATATCATTTCTAAACAAAATTTCAAACCCACAGTATGGTGGAGGTATGTAGATGATGTATTCTCAATATGGCCTCATGGATCAGAGTTGTTGGACACATTCCTAAATGATATAAACGATAAAGAAGAGACAATAACATTTACCATGGAAAAGGAATATAATAACACACTACCTTTCCTGGATGTTTTAATCTCTAAGAACGATACTGGATATGAGACTCAGGTGTATAGAAAACCAACACACACCAATAGATATTTAAATTTCAAATCAAATCACAATATTAATGTAAAAAAGGGAATAATTAAATCCTTATACGATAGAGCCAAAATTACTTGTTCTAACGAAAATTCGTTCTTGGAGGAGAAACATTTGTTAACATCTGTTTTATTAAAAAATGATTATCCTTTATCGTTTATAAATAAGGAATTTTCAACAATCGATCGAATAGAACAGAACAACTTAGAACGAGATCCTACAACATACACAAGGAATAATATGAGGAAAATAACAATACCGTACATAAAAGGACTATCAGAAAAACTTAAAAGGATAGGAAATAAATTCAACATTTCAACAACATTCAAAACAACAAACACGTTGAGATCTATTTTGTCCAAAACCAAACCTAACAATGAACAAGAAAGGACAAAGAATTGCATTTATAAAATACCTTGTGAATGCGATCAGTTTTATTTAGGTGAATCATCAAGGCCATTAAATGTTAGAATAAGTGAACATCAATCTTATATTAAAAATAGAGAATTTGATAGATCTCAAATCTGTAAACACGCATGGGATAATGAACATAGGGTTCAATGGAAAAATTCAAATGTAGTCCTAAAGGAAACGGATGGTAAAAAAAGAAAAATCAAAGAAGCGGCTCTAATTATGCTAAATGAGGCCAATTGTGTCGCACATTCCTCGGCAGAATGTAGTAGGATCTGGTTACCAATATTGAAAGAGGAAGTTATTAATAAGAAAATACCAGTATAAGTAAGTCGGTAACATATAGAGGATACATCATTTATGTTTTTTAAATAACGTAACATATAAAATCAGAATTTTGATGTTTGTTGAAGGTAAACTAAATTCACGAACAAATACTTACAATGTCGGGATAGTATTATGAGGTTTTTTTTTCCTGGTTTTTCCCTCATAATTTACTATGGAATCACTAACAGGAGAATTTTACTGTCATCATGTCATGTGTTTGTCTTTTTAAAGACGAATTACATGCTATGATTTTTTTCTAACGGATATTCTCAAGTTAAAGTTGATTTCATGTAATCGAATGAACTATCTTATAAGTATAAGTCGTCCCAGGAGCGCAACTCAACAATATTGGCAATATCATTTTAAAGTCGTCTACTATAAAATGCATAATGTATATCTGAATTGTCAATATAAATGAGTCAGATAAAATTAAATTATTAGAAGAATTTTTCACTATGTAACAAAAAACAAAATTTGTTTAATTTACTGTTTGTATTTTGAGAACGATTTCCGAAGTGGAAATTGAAACGTCAATAAACGTATTTTTATCTTTAATTGTGGCTTATTCCCAGTTTAATAGTACTTGAGATATTTTAAATTGTAAAAGTCAATTATTAAAGTAAATATAATTAATAATACCATTCTTCTTTACCTTGAACACATCATTGATTGAAAGTCTAAAGGGCTTCGAAATGGGCCTATCTGGGGAACGGAATTTATCTGGAAATTAAAAATATGGATAAAGATGTTGGAACTTATAATGATAATAATTTAGTAAAGGTATATATAGCAAAAAATCATACTTCAATCTTACCTATAACGTCCAACAAACAAGGCCCTTCATACCACTGCAACAGCTCACTCTCTGTAGGTTTCTTGACCAAGTTCTGCCCAGTCAATCCACTACAAGGTACAAACGTGACGTCAGACTCTTTGAATCCAGCTTGCTTGAGGAAAGCCTTCAATTTCTTTAAGATTTCGTTGAATCTCTCTGGCGACCAAGAAACCGTGTCCAGTTTGTTGATGGCTACAGCCAGTTGAGATACTCCGAGAGATCGTACGAGTAAAGCGTGCTCTCGCGTTTGTCCTCCGTGATCGAAACCGGATTCGAATTCGCCTCGAGTCGCATCAACAACCAAAAGAGCTACGTCGGCTTGACCTGCTCCGGAGATCATATTAGGAATGAAATCTTTATGACCAGGTGCGTCTAACAGTGTTACCTACAAGTATAAATGTATATTAAATACGGGTTAAAAAAATGAAAGTCGTCCTAGAGTTTAATAAATTTCGGACTAAGAAGTAGTCTTAAAAACGAATCTGTTAGTTTAACAAATACCTATTACTTACCGCCTTTGTTTTGGTTTCAAACTGAAATCGACCAACGTCCATTGTTATACCACGATTACGTTCCTCTCCGGTTTCGTCTAAAACCCAGGCATACATAAAACTTTGTTTTCCTAATTTTCTACTTTCTTGTTCATATTTGTGCATCACCTTTTGATTAACCTAAAAAAATAATTATTATATATACATACCACATATTATAGTCAAATTCGCAAAAAGAGTTCAGCCAAGGTGAATCTGTTTTGAGGTTGATGTGAGAAGTGGCATTCGGATTTTTTCAGAAAAAGTGTGATAACTAAAAATAATAATCATCATTATCCATCTCATTCGTGGTTGTCCTTTACTTCTTGTGCCCTCTGGTTTTGAAAATGTTAATCTCTCTTTACCGAGGTCTATTTATATCGAGGCTTTTTATTTACCAGTCTGTAGTTGAAAACTTGTAGCATTTGTAAATTCTTTATTGTAAATAAATTGAAATCCCCTCGTATATGTATTAAAATATCGAAGAATATTTTCCATGTATCTCTGTTCCTATCGTACAAGTTAAAATACCCAAAAGTATTTTCAAATCTTATTTACGTCGCCGAGGTTGATTATAAACCATTTTACAGTTTTTTTATATTTCACATATGCATATTTTCTCGGCATTCTTTTAATCGAAATCCGCTTTTAGGATATTCTGCGTTTCAAATAAATATTCCCGTTATGTTTTGTTTATACTAAATTTGGAAGCGAATGACCTTTAAAAATTACTTCACTCTCGCTGAGGTCGCTGTTAAGGGCAGCTGACTTTAGAGTTTGTCCAAATTTTACGTCAAATTAGTAATGTTTTCTGGTTTTTCGTCCCTTCTTATAGAAAATAAGTAGTTTTGTGGCAGTTAATAGTTCAGTTCAAGTAATAGTTACCGTTTTAAGTGAGGTTTTGAAAGATAACCACATTTTGTCATTGTGTTCAGTTCTACCTGTTCCAGTTTTTTAAGGAGTTAAGTCCAAGGCAAGTCGTTTAGTGCCAATTCAACTTTTGTTTTGTTTGAACTGGTCGTCGTTCCAGACCATAGATGCAGTCCTTTTGTTCGTGTGACAGAGATTCCCAGTCCAGTTCCTGCCTCGAGAAATTTTAGTAAGTCCAGATTGTAACTCAAGTGCATTTTAGTGAAATCAAGGTAACTTTTTTTGTTTTAAACTTTTAAAGGAAGAGTAAACATTTTATATAATAATTTGCTTTCATAACAATTTACAAAATGAAATTGTTCTGTTTTAAAACTTAATGTTGACATATGACAGCTAGCTTTATTATTTTTGACATCTGATAAATACCTAATCATATCTAAGATTTTTTTGTTTTGGTTTTTTTAAAGAAGGTTAACCTCAATGCAGTAACATTTGTAAGTTTTGTAGTAATTCCAACTCCTAGAGTTTGTAAACGGCTAGGACACATGTAAGGTTTGCTTTGTTATTTTTGTAACTGTTTGTGGTGAGACAACAATAAATGTTTATTTTTTTTTCTAAACTATTTTGTTTATTTCTTTTAACTAACTCTCTAACCCCTTTTTTGAGTTTCATGTAAAAAGGTATATTTTTCATTTCTAATAATTATTTCAATAGTTACAACATTCAAACATTATCTAAGAATTTATCAAAATTCATAATTTTCCCTTATTACAAAAAAAATCCTTATCTAACATTGCTCACCTTCTCTTGGTCAACAACTTAGTAGCACACTCATACATCAAATTTTAGGTTTTTATAAACTGAATTTATTATTACTAAAATAGATTTTGTCCAGGGTGCTAGATGCTGTAAGCATGAAGGACCTCTATTATCTCTAATTGTTGATTAACTCCTTTTCTCCTTTAACCGTCCCCTTCTTCTTCAGTCATTTCCTCTACTTTTATTCTCATCAAGTCTCTGAGGAGCTCAGCCTCTTCAATTTTAAATTTAATCACATAGGTTATAACTTTAATTTCTTCGGCCTGTAGATTTTCAATTTACTAAACTTATTTTTATTAATTTTTTCACCATACTAGCATTCTTAAATAAAGTGATTTAAATAAGAGGTCTTATATTAGCTTCAAATATTTGCTATTTAATTTTTACCTTGTCCTAGATGTGATAAACATAAAAAGATAATTTTCATATGTATAAGCTAATCTAATATAAAATACACTTTTAGACCACATTCCATACGACAAAAAGTAACATAGATTGCCTAATACACAGGTCATTCTCTTAAACATGACTTTAACACCATCGGTGATTTCACATCTTTTATACCCCAAATTAATAAATAAGAAGTTTTTAAATCCCAACACCTAGATTGCTGTTATTATTTTTTAAAATCATCAAAATAATTTTTTGAATCTTTTGGCTGTAGTAATACTAGGTATAACTAATATAGTTCCATGTTACATTGACATTTTGTTTTCGACACCGTTCATAGGTATATTGTCCATCAGTTACCAGCTGTTCTCCGTTTGAAGAGGTTTACTTTCCGGCTCTGGAACTCACTTCAGCCATGTATGTTACCTGAAGTCAAATTTAATTTAATACTGAACATCACAGTTTTTTTACAACATGAAGTATAATCTTTTACAACTATATGTAATTTAAAGGGTTTTTACCCAGGTATTTTGGTGGCTCAGGCATTATAACCTTGTAAGTATAACCATTTTTGCTTTTTAACCATAGTCAAAATTTCATAACCACGTTTGTTTTAACTAAATGGTTTATACTTATTTTAGGCAATTTAAAATTTTAAACCTGATGATGGACTGTTTAGTCCGAAAACGTTTGTTTTTTTGATGTAGCCCTTTTAAGGGTTTTTAAATAAATATACCCATTTACGAAGACTAAGCTCTTTTTTGTGATACGTGGTATACAGCCAGCTACAGGAATTGTTTTCCTTGTGGATTTAGTTACAACTAGTTGTTGTAATCGTTATAAATTGGCACCTCGAAGCAGCGTCCCATTTTAAATAGCTAGAGGTGCTTCCTGTTGTTCTGTTTAGTCCAAGTAAGTACCCCTTTGTTTCATTTTTTGTACTTACCCAAATTCAACCCCCTTGCCATTCACTAATCGACGACCTAGCTACTCCAAATAAACCCTGAGTGCCGTTCGCAACAGTTTTGTTTATTTCGCTTGCCCTACCTCTACCCCAGTAACTTCTGTCCCAATTTTCAACTCATTATAATACTCTATGTGGTAGACAAAATATTTCGTTACAAACTGTATAATATTATATGAAGGGTGTTACTGGAAAAGGAGCCAAGCGCCAAAATCGTAAAATTTGCATTATATGTACCAATCGCCTTCAAGCAACTATATTTAAATTCTAGCAAAAGATCCAACCGACATATATAGTATAGCTCCCTCTACCGATTGTCGAACCAACTGACAAAGTGACAAAACAGCGTTCGCCCGTTTATTAAAAGAGATCCAAGCGACAGACGGTGGTTGGTTCTTTGTAAATAAATGCTTTTTATTAACATTTGGCGCCTGACCCGTTTTAAATATTTTACGCCGGCTTACGACACGTTTAACGTCCCAGTGTTTTCTTAAGTTTTAAGCGAAAAAAATGTCTTTAAGAGGAAAAAAATACTAGCGATGGTAGTGAAAGAGACTAGTAGTGCGGAGCAACAATATTGTGTTACGAATAATGCATATTTAACTAAAAAAGTAAGCAAACAATTTTTCTAGGTTATGTTTTTTCTGTTACTAATAACTTTTATATTTTTTCAATACTATTAATACATTGTTTTAGAATTGAAAAGTATAGACACGTAATAATTGACTAGTATATAAGTTTTTCAGGAATATATTAAAAAATAACAATAATAAATCTTTGTTTTTTGCCGCTTGGTTCTTTTTATATGTTTTAGGCAATAATTTCTGGGTGTCGCTTGGATTTATTTAAAAGACAGAATAAATCGCCAATCTAGTTTATATTTTTTTTTTAACTAACATTACAATAAAAACATTTATTTTTCAGGTTCCAGATAATAACGAAAATATAAATAATGATCCTAATCCTTGTCTAAACGAGATGAGCTTTTAGAGATGAGTTTAAAAATAATCAAAAACAAATTGAATTTGAAGTTTTTGATAATACTGAAGACGATAATAATGAAGTAAGATTCAGAAAACTTCAGTGATTTTGTAGACTCAGATAGTGAATATAGCCCAGCCAAATCAGAAATTACAGAAGCGAGTTCAAGTGAAGAATCCTTGGGAGAACCGCCTGAGACTCAGGAAGTGGAAGAAAGGTGAGCAAATTCAGGGAGACTGAAAAAGGGAAGAAACACAAAGTATCCCGGTCAAACATTTAAAAGTAGAAAACTATTGAAAAATTCGAATCAGACTCACTACACAGCAAGAGGTAAATTAATAAAAGCTAAAACCTTTTTGGATTTTGACTGCAATTGTTCTCTAAAATGTAAAGATAAGATTGTCGCCGATATTAGACAAAATATTTTTAAACAATTTTGGGCTTTGCAAACTTATGAAAGTCAGAATAATTTTATAGCTGCTTGAGTTACACAGCAAGGTATCAAAAGAAAAAGGAACAAGGAAAGTAACTTAAGAAAGTTTTCTCGCGTATATCATTTAGATAATAACATTGTATGTAGAAATATGTTTATCAAATCATTACAAATCTCTACGAAAAGAGTTGATACTGCTCTAAAAAAATTCTCTGCTGGAATTGTTAAAGACGGAAGAGGTAATTCTGAAAATAGTAGTAAAAATAAAAGACTACCTGATAAAATTAAAAAAAGTGTAATTAAACACATTAGTTCTTTTCCAACTTATGCGTCCCACTACTGCAGGAGTGAAACTGAAGCTAAGTACTTGCTTTTCGATTTAACTCTTAATAAAATGTACAATCTTTTTTTGGAAGACCAAAACTTAAAAATTGCTTTTTCTACCTACAAAAAAATTTTTTACGAAAATTTTAATTGAAAAAGGAAAGCACCTAGCAAAGATACATGCAACACTTGCGATCAGTTAAAAACAAAAATAAAACGTTGTCAAAATGACCCTGAGTTATTGAGCAATACCAATATTTTACACAACCAACATTTAGAAAAAGCAGAACACGCAAGATATGCTATGAAAAATGATTTAGAAAAAGCTAAATCGAGAGAACATGTTAAAACAGAAACACTTACCTACTTATGACATGGAAAAAGTAATTGGGCTCCCAAAACTGCCCACTAACATAATCTATTATAAAAGACAGCTTTCTCTTTATAATGAACGAATTTACCAAGGATCCAATAACCAGCCATATTGTTTTATATGGAAAGAGGGCACCGCTGAAAGAGGAGCACAAGAAGTTGGTTCATGCTTGAAAGTTATGATTGATAAACACCTTTCACCTGAAACTGAAGAGCTAAATTTATGGTCTAATTCTTGCGGTGGTCAGAACCAGAACCTAAAAATTGTCCTTTTTCTCAAAAGTGTACTAGAAACACATAAATCATTGAAAACAATAAATTTTAAATATCTGATGCCTGGCCATAGTTACCTACCCAATGACTCTAATTTTGCAAAGATTGAAAGTGCTTTAAAAGAACAAATTAGAATCTACACACTTAAAGAGTTTGAGGATGTGGTGGTAGAATGTTCAAAAAAGCGTAAGTTTATCGTTCACGAAATGGTAAAAGAAGATTTCCTAGGCAGTAAAGAAATTGAGAAACTTATTACTAACAGAAAAATAGATATACTAGATAATAAAGTCAGCTGGTTAAATGCCAGAGTAATTAGAATTATTAAAGATAAACCCTTTTCAATATTTTTTAAGTCAACTCATGAAGAGGGTCAGTTTCAAGAGGTTAACATAAAAAAAGGCATAAGAGGAAGACAACAAAAATATACGCACAATTTTTTTTCTTCAAAATTCGAACTTTTATATCCAGAAGGGAAAGCTGTTTCCGACAAAAAATTAGCTGATATAAAAAGTTTATTAACTCTTATTCCCAAAGATGTTCAGGATTTTTATAAAAATCTTCAACATAGAAATTTCGATGATGACATAGATGGGTTTGGTGATGAAGCTGACTTTGAATTCGGAGAATAAGATTAGAATATATTACCACATATTATGAGGTTCTGCGAGCGCTTTACTTTTATATTATTGTCGTATTTTTAAATAAAAATTGTTATATAAAAAGATCCATGTCTCATTTTCCTATATATACCAAAAGAACCAAACGCCAAAATATTAAAAATAAACTATTTTTTTTTAATTTTTAATTTTTTTTTAAACTATACATTTAATTCGCACTTGAGCTATTCATATTACCTCAAAACTTCTTTATATTTGGATACAGTGATTTATAGTACAATTATAAATTTAAGTGTGATTTTCTCGAAATATAAAAAGTGGCTATTGGCTCCTTTTCCAGTAACGCCCTACATATAAGAATAAACTTACCTGTCCCAATTCACAAAGAAGTCTGCCCATCAACGTACTCTTACCAGCATCCACGTGCCCAATCACAACCATATACAAATGCTCCTTTTCATCTCCCCTTTCCTTTTGGTACAGCTGCTGCGGATCAAACTTGCTATCTCTGGTTTTGGCTTGCTTGACTTCCTCGCCAAAATCTAAAGTATGGTTATTGACAGGTGTAACTTTCCCAGAAGCGGGAGACTGAGATCTAGGCGTAAAGCTACCTTTCTGTGGCAGATCAAAACCCTTCGTGATGTTGGTAACGGTTTTCGGAGTGGAAGAAATCACTTTCGTCTGTTCAATCTGAGGAGTTTGAACTATGTCTGGCTGAGCAACTACTTTAGAATTTAAGTGAAATATACTTTTTAAAACTACAGATGTGTTGAAATTTGTACTATACTAGATTTGCCCCACTACCACTAGTTTACATATCTATCCTAAGATATACAAAAATATATCGGTTTATATATAATTTTTGTGTAAAAATAAATGAGACTCCTAGAAGACAAGATTTTTAGTCTAAATAAATAATTCCTATCTATATTGTCTTTAGATTTTAAAGTTATAAAACTTTTAGAGAAAATGAGAATTTTTCATTAACCCAATCAACTTAATATACCTAATCTAACGAATGGATCTAATAAATAACAAAAAGGGTATACGGATCGGTGGTTAAAAACATGAGATCAATGCAGTTAAAAGTTCAAAACCACGTTCACGGGTCAAGAAATTTCCTGAATTAAAATAAGGGCATATTTTATCAAAATACCACTTTAGTAACACTGCAAATTCAAACAAAAATATAACTTCCAGAGCATATTTTACCACCTTTAGTCAAGACAAATTAATATATGTATTTAATATTGGGACCGTGCAAGTTCGGAACAGCGACACCTGGTGTCGTAAATCAGCAAAATTTACTGCGCTTTCATGTTAGATCGAGGTTACCGGATAACTGTCAAGGACGTAGCTCCAAAAAAGAACAAGAAGAAAAAGTAAGATTGAGGTTATGTCGGTATGTTATTAAAAGGTAAACGTTGTAAGTGGTGTAAATACAAATAAATATATTATTAAATTACAGCATTACTGTTAATATGGATGCAATAATAAAAACTGAATTTGAGAAAGTAAATCACCAAATAACTTTTCAACCAAGTCTGAGTCAAAGGGAAAAGCTTTAGTAGTGACAAATGTCAAAAAATAATGGAAGAATTAAGAAAAATAAATTACCATAAATAATGCTAATGCATAAATTAGCAGGTTAAGCCCATAATATCATCATATTGGTTTGAACAATTAATTCTTTTTCTGTAAACTTTTGGACATCGAATATATCTTAATGCCTCTTCAGAAAAACTTGAACTTGACGCATTTTTGTAAACTTCAAAAAATAAAATTTAAACATTAAACTTGATTTTGGGTTACAATGAACTCTTACAAGTGAGTGTTATGAAACTAAAATTTACACTTTAAAGTGAACTTTTATTGATTATTTATTTCAAACTGATTTTAAAATCGGGCGCAAGAATAATGTATAATTTAGATTATGTTACTTATGCTTTTTTATGATATAAATCCACTTTTCTCTTTGTAGTAGCTTTGTGCTTCGAAGTTGGAAACGAATAAAACTTAAATTGACAATTTTTTGTTGTATTTTTACAATTTATAACACGGCATTTCCTAAATCCCATTTTCTTCAATGACAGAAGGTGTAAATAAACAAACGAATATGAAATATGACAATTGACAATATGAATTTATGAAATCTATGAAATGTGCAGTAAAAAATGCAAGATTTCTCCTCTACTCGCGCACGATCGTTTCTCGTATCCCCTCCAAGTACTTGCACGTCGCCAATATTTTTTACCACAAAAATGAGATGTTTTAACCAAATAATGCTTCAAATATAATGTGCAGAATAATTTTGAATTACGTTCCGCTAATGAACTTGCTTTTTTGTCTTTAAAAGTAGAAAAAAGTTTCAATTATATTGCTTAATATTTCGTCTAAATATAATCGCCTAACAATTTTAACTGTACTAATGCCCAAGTATCAATTTTCAAGTTTTAAACTGATTGATTTACATTACAATGAGTAATCCGGTTGTAAAAATACCGGTATGTGCCTTACCTAAAGGCTGATTTATAAACTTTACGTTAGCGTTGGCGATGACGTTCGCGTTACAACATGGTCAAATGGAAAACTCGTATGTCTATTTATAAACATCGTTCGCCGTTGGCGTCGGCGTTCGGTTCCGTTCAAGATGAACCAACTTTATCTTTTGCCGTTGGCCGTTGTAGCACAGAATACACAAACCCTTCTTTGGTTGTAGTCACGATCTCAGAACATAAAATAAAACTGTATCTTTGTCATCGCAGCCAATAGCAATATCGAAAAAGTGACAAGGTTTGTCAAACAAATCAAACAAAATTATTTGTGTATGTTTCCAAGTGTTTATAAAGTGAAAAAGTTTAGATAATAACAAGCCTCTCTTTAACAGAAATTCCATCAGAGCGATAGTTTACATTTATTTTTGGTTTTACCATTTGCAGTAATTTTTCAAATGCTGGAAACTATATCCGGGTGTATTTAAAAAATGCTGGGTATCCCAGTTTTTCATATTTTTATAATAATTAAAATTACCTCTTGTCTTTCTGTTCTGGTTAATGGGCCTCTGTTTGTATCGACGTTGTCTTTTATTTCGAAGGCTCAGTGCTGCTCGAATACAAAGTATCAGTGTCACTGCACCTAACAAAGGCCGAGCATTTTCCATTGTATTAATTTTCAAGCAAAAATTAATAATACCAAATCAAAAATTGTAAGGCAAGAAATTAAGATGTGATCTTTAACGCCAACGCCAACCGAAAAATTATAAATGCAGTGTATGATAGCTAGCGTCAAGGTCAACGGCGAACGCCAGCGCCAACGTAAAGTTTATAAATTAACCTTAAGGGACTGGACTTGCAAGTTTTTAGTTTAGTTGTATCTTTGCAACTTGTTTATAAATAGATGTGCATTGTGCATTGCTTTAATTTTGAGTTGTGTTAAAATTTTGTTGTGAGTAGTTATAATAATTGTAGTATTCTTTTGTTGCTTGTTTTATTGAAACTATCTATTTGTGTATAAAGAAAATGTTTAGACCATGGGAAAATTCACTTACAGTTTTTCGTGCATGGGAGCAAGAGAACCCAAGTAGTAGTAGAGAAAGTGTAGTAGTCAACAATATTTTAAGTGTAAGTGATACAAAAAACAATTACACTGAGACTGTCATTGTAGAAAAGACTTCCAAAGAAAAGGATTGTTTTGAATGAACAATCTAAGAGAATTTGTATGAACGTTAACAAAAATCTTATAGGCAGTATTATAAGAAAAGCTGCCTTTCTAACAGGAATTCCGTATTCTACCATGCGCGACATTGTGAAAAGTGGTGTTAAAAAGAGAAAAACATGATCGGATGCTGGAAAACCTAACAAATTAATATCGTGACTGCTACATACTTAAGGAATTTGGCTTACGAGGAATACAAAAAATATATAATAACAAACAATTGATATCATATATACCAAGCTGGTTGCGATGGAAGAAGCTGCCTTAAAATCACTTTACGTAGACGGCTGAAAAAAACTTGGGTTCAAATACAAAATCGTTGATAATCGGGTGGCTATTATGGAAAGTAAGAGGATAGTACACTGGCGTTTAGATTATGTAAAAAAAATTATGGTATGACACGCATGATACCGCTAGCAAGGGTTGAACTGATGGTGCACTTAGGTGCCAGTTGAGGAGTACCTCCGAATAAAGGTTCTCGGATGATTATTGTGCACTGTGGATCTGCAAATGGTTAGGTGCCAAATGGGTTAATGCTTTGCTGAAAAAAAAAAAAAATAGAAAAATGTAGTGTAGATTATCATCAGAATATGAATTCTACTATATTCGAAGAGTAGTTTAAAAATACACTACTTCCCAATATAACACCAGGCAGTGTGATAGTTATGGACAATCCTAGCTACCACTTAAAGCTTCTCAAAAAAATTCCTAACAGTTCCTAACAGAGATTTTCTCTCAGATAATGATTTGTATTTTGAAGACAACTATAATAAGAAACACTTACTTGAAGTGCTTCGTACTAAAACTTATAAAAAACAATATATACTGGACACTATTGCAATACAACATGGCCACACTGATTTGAGGTTACCACCTTAATTTTGTATATTCAATCCTATCGAACTTATTTGGGGACAAGTAAAAAAACAGATTCGGAGGAAAAATAGTGTTCCAAAATTAGACGCGAAAGTGGTCGATTTAATTCGATATGAACTATCAGTGGTTACAAGTGCCAACTTAAAAAAAGCAGTAAACCATGTAGTGGAAGTAGAAAATGAGTACAGAAGACTATAACAATTATTTATAAACAGTGGACAACTTATTATTAATCTGGTGGATAGTGACGATGATAAGAGCTCGTCTGCAGGAGAAATATTTTAGACAAGGTACGCTAATATAATGATTATTTAAGTTAAAACAACTAAGTTTTTTATTATAAATTGTTAACTTTGTTTAAAACAATATTTTCTTAAGTGTAAAATACTTTTCCACAGTTTCGTCTGTGTACGTCATCGTTAAACCCTAATAGGGCTTTTCAACGCTTTTCATATGTTTCAGGCACTTGTCATATGTCATAATTTTAATATACCTACGTCATACGCTATTGGTATATAGTATATTCCAGTAACTTTAAATACCAAAGACGTATGACGTAGATATATTAAAATTGTATGACATATAACAAGTGCCTGAAACAAATGAGAAGCGTTGAAAAGCCCTATTGAAGATTCCATTGTATCACCTAGTATTTTTTCCGACAGGGTGGTAGAGTGATATTTTTTTTACGTTTCACTTTTAACCATTTAAAAAACAAAGAAATATATCGTTTTGTTTATTTTTTCAAAATCAGATTTTCTGCTCTTTGACTATAATATTCACATTACTCATTGTTATTTTATGATTTAATACTTGTATCAAAAAATTTGTGTCGGTGAAACATGCAATGTCGCGATAAGTCCCTGGTCATCGGTTACTCGAATTTCATAACATACAAATATGATCTATTTGAATTTGCCGACGGACGAATTATCGATGAACCCGACTTTTATACCAATCAAAAATTATGAGACACTGAAGAAAATCATATTAATATACAGTATATGTCAATATAAGTAGTGATGTAAGATGAGAATATTCTCGGCCAGAAAATTTTCGGCGAGTATTTTCTATATTTACAATACCGAAACAAAATAAAAACTAGGTAGATATGGGTCAAATTATTATTATTTAA